CGTCTAATAGAACGTGCATAATTTTTTGATCCTTGCCTAGGTTTCCTGAATATGATAAATCTAGCACACCAATCGTGTAAAGTATTTTGGATAACTTCGAGGTATTTGTCGGATAAGTGATTATTTGACAGCTTGAAGAAAGATGATTTAGAAGGCCGCATGGGGCACCATCCGGAGTGTGCACTGGACATATGAATCCTTTAATTGAATGGAAAAAAACTTAATAAATAGAATACAAAAAAATATCATAATTGTAATAAATGATGAATGTATAAGAATCCTAACCCCAAGCTTCCGGTAAAAGTTTACGTATAGTGGTCGTCTTCAACTCGGCAAAGAAAGATCCACGATGAACACAACGAAAATGCGAAATATATCGATAAAAATTAAGTTTTTCTGCCACTATTGTATAGCCAGTTGTCTAAATATACAAGTCACTCGTTATAGTGAATTCTCGATATAGTGAAGGAATATTTAAACTCTCGATATAGTGAAGTTGAACTCAAAAGCCGTATATATTAAATCTTCTTGATATTAATAAACCCTCGATAAAGTGAATTTTTGAAAAATTCTCACTAATAGCCCGAACGCCTTCACTATAACGAGGCTTGACTGTAAACATTTTGTTATATTATTTATTGCACGACATCGATTTAATAAATAAAACTAACCTGTGACAAATCCATCCCAGAGATTGACACAAGATTTCCAGTTGCTAAAAAATGCGCTATCTTTGGTCCAACTGTGTCATGTTTTATTTTACTCATAATTTGGCCTACATAATGTGCTAAAATTTAAAAATAAGAATACTTAATTACAAAAGATATGGACATGCAACCCACATAATGCTAATAAAAAATAAAATCGCTTTATGTTTAAACCATACGATTAATAGTATCCACTATTGTCCCCTTTCTGGAAAGCCGAAAACGTCTATAAAATTCTCCACGCAAACCATGGAGGTAGTCTTGAAGTCTCTCTTTGATTAACATTCCATATAAATGTCCACCTAATAGGATTTCTTGATTTGCAGGAGAATCAGGATTGTCAGGAGAACATTCTCCAGCAACCATTGCATATAGTTTACGAATCATAAATCTGATTGATATTATTATAAAAGTTAATCAAGCTAATAAATCAATTGTTTCATCTTATAATTAAATATGAGCTTACATCAATAAATCATATTTCTGTTGATTGTTTTTTAGATGTACCAACACAATTCTGTCCAAGAGAAAATCGCCAGCCTTTGAATCAGAGAATGATCGTGGTGAGTTGAACACTATGCGAAATTTTTCTCCTAAAACTTTCAGATAATCTTCCCGATCTATAAGATCCCGATTTTTGGCAGACCGAAGCAAAAGTTCTACCCGATCTGTCAAAAACGTATTTGATGTTTCATTTTGCACTAATCGATCAAAAATGGCTTTATCTGAAACGTCTGCCAGAGCCTTTTTATTTAAAGTATAAGGGTAAAAAAACTTTCAATATGAAAACAAGATCTACAAAATAAATAATCAGAATCGTACACAAATACATACTTTAAGTATTAGCATCACTGGAACCATATATTCTTGTTTTCTCCACCGAAAACTAAACATACAATTCCCATCTTTCAAATAATGTACATTAACAGTTTGTGTCGTCTGATCAGACCGTGCACATCGAATCGACGTAGCATACTTTGTATAATCTTTTCCACGTTTCTGAAATGATGGTCGCACGATTCCCATAACATAATTACGACGCGGTACCAGCAAAAGACGAATAATTTTTTCGATCCCATTGATGATAAAATATCCGCCCATTTCTTCTGCTTCTTCGTGATGACGAATCAAATCTTTTGGGTAAAAGTCTGCTATATTACATCGAGCGGACTGTAGGAATGGAGGAGCAGGAGTTGATTTTCTAATCGTAAGTGAATATTTACGCGTATATGAATACATGGAATTTCATTGGTTGAACAGTGCAATACTCTTTTGTATAATGTAATTAGGATGTGATGCATTACTTTAACCATTATTGGTATGTTTCCCACAAATATATTTTCTGAAATTGGAATTCCGTCGTTAATTGTCCAATTAAGACGCACTTCCATGCGTCCTTGATAAGTGATTAATCTTTCACGGCACTGTACAATAAATTCAGGATCAAATTTAACAAAAAAATCGAATATAAGCTATAAGCAAAATAAGAATCAATCACAATACCTCGGACGGAAATAAATTTTTTTCTCGAGCATATACATTATTTTCGGATATCATTGGTCGAAGAATTGTTATCTTGTCGATCCAAACTTTATTAAGAAATCAAGTCAGCTCGATTATATTATTAATTTGCTTTATATGATTATTTGAAAACATACATTTTACGAAACTGGCTCTCGACGTCTCCGTCTCCGTCTCTTCGAGCTTGTCGTATACATACATTGGCTGTAGATCGTTAATTGCTGCTTGTAATATTCCTCCTTTATCTCCTTTGTGACCAAACAATGCATTAAAAGATTCGATATGAGGCGCCGTAATTTCTTGTAAAGCTGGCACTCCGAAGTTAGTCGAACTTGGGTTCTTGAATAGAGTCTCGCGCTCCACTGTATAGAAAGAGGATGCCATTTAGATCCAGAAAATTTCTGATAAGATCTAATTATAATCGGTGATCACATGCAAATCATAAGAAACTATAGCAGTTTGGCTACCAAATACCCGGGTATTATGATCAGCAATCATCT